TGAAGTACAAATTTATTGAATTTCAAATGAATTGTGATCACAATCCAGAGAAGCCGCATATATCTAGTTCTTCCTCCAGCTTCCAATCAGTGAAAAATACAGCTTTGAATCCTTCAGAACAAACACCAATACAAGATGTTCCTCCACCTCCACCATTGGCCAAAGAACTTCTTCCACAACCACCAATACAAGATGTTCCTCCACCACCACCATCGGCCAAAGAAGATGTGCCACTACCAAAAGATAGTTCATCACAAAAAAAAAAAAGAGAAGATGATGAAAAAGCAGAGAGTTCATCAAAACAAATCATACCATATGTAAAAAAGAAGAATAAAGAGGTTATCTATGTTGATAATATAATAATTGAGCCACGACCTGCATTGAAAATTATGGATTATCCAGGGAAGCCTTTTCTAACAGAGCAAAAACAACAATTTATGAATGAATGTTTCAGAAAATTTAATAGAAAATAAGTTTAGTTGCGCTATGGTTGCGCTATGGTTGCCACAATAAAAATAGGGCAACCATAGCGCAACGAAACTTACTTTCTATTAAATTTTCTGAAACATTCATTCATAAATTGTTGTTTTTGTTCTGTTGAAAAATGCTTCCATGGATAATCCATAATTTCCAATGCAGGTCGTGGCTCAATTATTATATTATCAACAGAGATAACATCTTTGTTCTTCTTTTTTACATATGGTATGATTTGTTTTGATGAACTCTCTGCTTTTTCATCATCTTCTATTTTTCTTTTTTGAATCATGTGCTTTGATGAACTATTTTTTGGTAGTGGCACGTCTTCTTTGGCCGATGGTGGTGGTGGAGGAACATCTTATATTGGTGGTTGTGGAAGAAGTTTTTTGGCCAATGGTGGAGGTGGAGGTATTGGTGGTTGTGGAAGAAGTTCTTTGGCCAATGGTGGAGGTGGAGGAACATCTTGTATTGGTGGTTGTTCTGAAGGATGCAAAGCTGTATTTTTCACTGATTGGAAGCTGGAGGAAGAACTAGATTATATGCGGCTTCTCTAGATTGTGATCACAATTCATTTGAAATTCAATAAATTTGTACTTCATGGAGTCTTGATCTGCCTGAAGTTTCTCCACAATATCTTCAACACGATACAATCTAGCTCCCAGATTTTCTTGAATTTTATTCAACATCTTCTCAAATATTTCAAAACATTTATTCTAAACAGCCTCTAAATCTGTCTTTCCAATGGGTGGCTGTTCAGCAGAAGGTTGAGTGGTGTAAATTTTTTCAGTAGGTGGACGAGTAGAAGGTTGAGTTGGCGGCAGAGGTTGAGTTTCTGGTGGTTCATTATGAGAAGAATCAGGGGGAGAGAGAGAGAGGGAGAGGGAGGTGGGGTGGTGTCAAGTTTTTTTCTTGCGGATGACTTAATTTTCTGGGGTGACTGCAATTTTTGTGGTTCATACCCTGCCCGGGTTTCCAAGTTTTGTATGCCAATAATATCAGCCCCGTATTTTTCGGCCTCCTCATTGCTAACATTCTCAAAACAAACATAAATCTGCAAATAAACAGAAAACATATTAATTTATTAAAGCGCAACCATAGCGCAACCTTAGCGCAACAGTAACACAACCGTAGCGCAACCTTAGCGCTAAGGTTGGCGCAACCTTAGCATAATTTGCATCATGTACACGAAAAAATTACCTCACTTTTCTTTAAAAATTTAAATAATTTTGCTGCATTTTCTTGAGTAAAGTATAATTCTGTATACCCCTCTCATCTCAGAAAATGCGGTCTTATTTCTGGATCGGATGGTTTATTCAAAGAAAAAAGTTCCAAAAACCAAATCTGTATAATGCCAAACATAAAAATTTAAAAGTTAACATTAAAAAGCATTATACATGTAGAATAACCAGTAGGAGTGAAAACTTATCAGTAGAAGAGGAAAAAAATCATTGATGTAACACAATGGTCTTTGCAGTTGAAACTTCTCAAAAATTGTGTTAAACTCCCCGACAATGAAGTTCTTTAAGCATGAAGTCCAATTAATGGAAGTGAACTCACTTAAATTATTTGCAACATATGTGAGCATTCTAGGGATTTTATGATTGTTTAGTGGAAAGAAAATGTTAGATAACAAAAACATAATAAAGGTCTTTATTTTTGTAGCATTATCAGATAATCTATCTAATTTTGACATTTCTACTTTAATTTCAGTTGATAGAGGTCCATTTAGAGGATCAATCCTCCATTTGATATCAATATCTCTGTTTGGCAAACCTGATAGAAAATTTCAGTTGTTAAAGTTAAAAAAACATATCGCTATAAAAAATTCCATATTCAAAATATTACCTATCAACAAGGCAATCTCGTCAGAAGTGAATTTCAGTACATGACTAAGGACGATGAAGCCTTCATCAGCAGGACTCCAAAATTTGAGAACCTCAAAAAGAAGTGGTATACACTGCTAGAATGCAGGGAACTTCAAAAATTGATGAATGTTCAGATTCTTTAATGTTTGCTCTACTTCATCATCAATGATCTCGACAAAAGCATCACAATGTTTTCGAAAAGAAGTAACATAGCATCTAGATGTTACTGGCCTTTGATACGCCGTTTTCATCTATAACAACAAAAAAATCAGAACTATATCGCAACCATAACTAAAGCGCAACCTTAGCGCAACCTTAGCATAAAAATACATTTCGTAATTATTTAGCTTAAAAGAAGGTTTAAATTCAGAAAAAAAAACTAAAATTGAACACCACATTGAACATATATGCTAGTTATACAATTATCACTAAACCCTAAATTTTAGCAGAAAGCGTAAACCTTTCGTATCATTTGTTTTATCCATTTACGAAGAGAAGAAGCGTGAAAAATCAGAAAATAAACATTTGAACAGTACATTACATCACTGTTTAAAATTGCGCAATAAGAGGCGCGCCTCTGCGCAATTCTTGCAAAAAACGCCTCAAGGCGTGCGCAATTGCGGGCTGTGGTGAGGCGTACGCCTCACGTAGGCTGAGGCGCGCCTCTGTTGCGCAATTGCGCAATCTTCAAATCTGGAGGTTAAGCTTGGTCTATATCACTGTATGGAAAGATTAATACCGGAGCAGGCAGATAGGGAGCTTGCAGATTTACAGCTTGTTCTGTTCCGGAATAAAGAGGATTTTTTTGGTTTGAATGCAGCAAAAGCAACCATTTCTAAACGGTCTCCAGGTATAATTAATTTGGTAAATGCAATACACTTTATTCAGTTCTGAATTTTGATTATATTTTTTTCTTGAAAACAGTTGAATGGTGGATCCAATTTGGTGATTCCACCCCTGAGCTACAGAGTTTTGCTGTGAGAGTGTTGGGCCTCACTTGTTCTTCTTCTGGGTGTGAGCGAAATTGGAGTACATATAGTCAAGTGCAAACAAAGAGAAGAAATCAACTATCTACACTCAGAATGAACTCCCTCGTATACATAATGCACAACAAGAGGTTAAGAGATAGGAGGTTGAGGAATAAGGGGTTGAAAGATGATGAAGACCCGTTGGTGTGTGATGATCTGTCGTCTGATAATGAGTGGTTCATAGATGATGAGGCAGATTTGTCATTATCAGACTTACAGGTAGAAGATCTAAATGTGGATGTATTGAGGGGCGAAGCAGATCAAACGGGTACATCCACTAGTACCACACCACACACATCTACTAGCTCTGCAAGTAAAGGTATATGTTCTCTGCCAGTCTGCCTGATAATGAGTGGTTCATCCAATTAATATGCTAATAATCTCCTCTTTTAATGAACAGGGAAGAGAAAAGTGAGTCATGTTGAAGATGAAGATGACATGGCATTCATAGATACAATTGGAGAAGAAGATTCACTTGAAGACCCATTTAGTGATGGGATATGACTCTTCCATGCCCTCTTCCACCTCCCTCTTCGCTGAGCAGTCCATTTCTTCTCTGCAATTTTCTGGCTCATTTTTTCTTCTACAGCAGTAGATATTTGCGTCTTTCGCGGGTATCAAAATGCAAAAATAGGGCGGCAAATGCTTAAAAGTTCAAATGAAATGCGTTATCGGGTCGGGTCGCTAACTCTGACAAAACATAAAGCAAACATATTAAATTAAAAAAACGCCTAACAGATGTCGCATTTCTATTGGCGACCGAACGCAGAGATGACTTCGGTCACCTGACCCAATAATTTGCCTAATTGTTTAGTCCCTTTCGAGAGGTCAGTAGGTCACATTAAAGGTGTGCTAACAATGGCGACAAAATTTATTTTGGCATAATTATCAATGTCTATTAGCATGCAGGGCATTAGTTCCAGTATGTGTAATGAAAGTCTAGTTTACTTTGTACTAAGGCACCACATGTATTCTACCAACACCATCATTTTCAACCTTAAGCAGGGATGTCTCAATCTCCATCGAGATGAGCATTTTGAGTTTCAAAGAGGAGCTTGATTGAGTAATGGTGCCAATTAGTCAGTGCAAGTGCCCTATCAACTTAGGAATGCTTAGTTAACAGCTCTAATTATTTTAGCTCTCACCTAGTCACCCCCTAGGGGCTTTCCAACTGATTATTTGTTGGACTTCTACCTAGCCTGGCATTGGTGTAAGAAAATTTACATAGAATCTTTGGATAATGTGTAAAGCCCCTTGGGCCTGATTTATGACTATTTTCTATCTGTATTACATTCTAGCATCTCTTAGCATGTAAAAGTTTAACCCATTTGGTATACTAGGAATATTTAGTTTAACCCATTTGTATACTAATAATTTGCCTAAGGTGTTGTACTCAACTTGATTGATTGATATGGCGATATAGGACTATTTGCATGTTCTAGCCTAGTTAGCCAAGGCAAATAGTCGAGAATGACTTCATCTCAAGTAGTCAACAAAGAATTTAACGAAATTCCTTTCGGCCATTTAGAAGTTAGTTGGGGTTTGGCAACCCTTCTGAGTTTAGCTTGGTGGTAATTCAACTTCAATATCTGATGGGGACAACGATAAGAGGTTTCGACGCGTTTATCAGAGGCGACACATGAGATCGACGTCCATGATGGAGAGTCTCTACTTTTGATGCACTTTATGTATTAGCATTTTATGTATTAATCATTTTTATTTCATTTTTGCCATCATGGGTAGTTGATCGCTATTGTAGCCCAAAGGGCATTCTAGTCTTTTATTTTATCTGTCATTTTGACGCCTATATATATGGTCATCTTCTTATGTATTGAGTTAGCTGATGAATGAAATTTTTCCCTTGTTGTTCTCTTTGTGAGTTCATGACATTTCCCCTAAATCTCTTTGTGAGTTATAGTGGATGAAGTGTGTTGAGGTTTGTGACTCTTAATTTCCTTTTCCTCCTCCACCAATCTCTTCCTCTTCCACCTTAAGGGAAAACACCCAAACCCACTTGCCTGGAGGACCCAAGCCCCACCCTCCTTGCCGCCGACCCCTTGGAACCCAAGCCGCCGGCTGCCTTCCTCCCACCCGCCGGCCATCTTGCCATCGGCCTCCCTTCATCCGCCCGCCACCCATCTCTTCCCCTAGCCATCATAATTGAAATTCAAATTTCAAATTCTTTCCAAATTAGGAAATCCAAATTATGAAAGTTTTTATGTTGAATCCATTTTTAAAATTAAATCAAATTGGATTTAATATTTTTCTTTCCTAGTCATCAACCAGCCTATTTGGAAACCCCCTCTCATTCCTCCCCCCCCCCCCCGCCCCCCCCCCGCCCCCCCCCCCCCCCCCCCCCCCCCCCCCCCCCCACCCCCCCCATCCACTCCCCCCCACCCTCCCCCTTCCCCCCCCCCTTCCCCCCCCCCCCCCTCCCCCCCCCACTCCCTCTCCTTGACTGCCGCCGGCCCCCCTTAAATGGGATTCCCCATTGAGTGATCATTTAATGCCCTCCCCCTGATTTGAAATCCGAAATTGATTTCAAATAATTATCCCTCCAATTTCACTTAAAACTGAAATTGATTTCAATTTTATTCCAAAACCCCTCTCCCCTCTCTCTATGCCGCAGGCCACACCATGGCCCCATCCCATTAACTCCCTCCTTCAATGTATTAATTGCCACCTATTTGAAATCAAATTTCAAAAGGTTCCCTCCCAAATTAATTGAAATCTGAACTTATTTTCAGATTTTGATTAAGCCACATTACTACCCCATCCTAACCTGTTTTCTTCCCAAACCCTAGCCTCCTCCTCCTCTCACCAACCCATCCCCCACCCTCTCTCTTCTAGTCCAGCCGCCGGCCTCCTCTCTCTACCCCTCTTCGCTCTTTGACCTTCCTCCCCGTGCTCCCTCATCCCCATGCTTAATGTGCATGGCCGATCCTGAGGTCGATCACGGCTTCGCGTACAACGAGCAAGGGGAGATCGACATCTTTCTCTCCCCCTTCTACGAACCAAACTGGGAATACGACGTCACCGTCGAACTCTATGTCAAATGTATTGTGTATTGTCTTGCCGGGACCATTGAACTTCAACGACCACGAACCTCGCGGTCCCTCACCGGACGATACATGCCACCTCCACCTCTGGCTACCTTCCCAACAACGACGTTCCTCGGCTCGTCCGTCCTAGTGGTCACTTCATTTCTAGTGTGGAAGATCTTCCTCCGCTCAACCTAGATCCGTAGGGAAGAGAGTAGAACCTCAAGGTGAACACCTCATTATTAAATTTTGGATTTGTGTTATAAGCTTTTACATTACTTCACATTTGTATTTGATTGAGAGCGTCTTGGTTAATCTTCACGCAATTCTTTGCCTAAGCAAGTAGAAGACTGCGGATTCCTTTAACATACTTTGAATTGACGCACAACTTTATAAAGGTTAAACTTCTATTAAATTCTCTTGATAATCTTGTGTAACTCCAAGCATGTATCACATCAATATCAAACTAGAATTTGATAGTGATACCATGCAAAATGAATTAATGATTTGGTGATGTTGGTTGACTCTGACTACAAGTATGGGACTCTTTCCTAGGTCCTTCTCATTAGATAGCTATGTGGATAGTTATGGTCTTCTCTTAAGAGAGGAGCTATTTTTTTCACTCTCAAAATTCTCGTTCATTTCACTCTTTCTTCCCCTTACTGAAGGAGATGGGAAATACATGCTTCTATCTTGCCTGAATCTCCTCAACTTGGGAACTTCTACAACATGCACACCTGAATCTTATTTGTTGCTATCATTTTTTTAAATTTGGTGAGCAGTTATTCTCTCATTAACGTCATCTAAGAATTAGGGTGATGGGATTACATGTGGCTCTCTTTGACTTGTTGAAGGAACAACGCCTCACTCTCCAATATAGGTTGTCATCTCAATAATCATGATGGATTCACTTCTTTAATTTAATTTTTTTGAAATTGGCCATTAATTCAAACCTATAAAAATTGATGATTATTTGGCAATTCACCATCTCAACTTAACCAATGAAAGGAGATCCTTCCATATTACGAAGTTCAATTCAGGTGCTTATCCACGAGGGGAACCTTTGTCAACCAACCCTTGCTTCCTCAAGGGAGCTCTTGCCTTAGGCATATTTCATGCATCATATGACTTTAAAACTACCCACATTTTCCTTATCCTTTGCCCTAGCACCTTATTATTATATACGTTCTTTAAAAATAATGATATGACAAATCATTATGTGATGCAAACATATATCTACAAAAATGCACTTGAGCGTGTGTTGAAGAAAATGTGAAACAATATTTAAACATAAACCTAAGAACTAAAACATAATTTTACTTGGACCACCTTAACATATAAGGAAAGTAAGACAAGATTCACGTTTAATCCATTATCCAATAAAAATACAAAATCTTAAACTAATTTCTTTTAACATCTAGTTAACTTAATTTTAAAATTAAGTTTGATTTGTGTAGAAAACTCACTGCATCTTCAGGAGAAACAATTCGCTCCTTGTCAGTTCCAGCAGCCAATAAACCACCCTCAAAGTTTCCCTCATCAGTTTCACTTTGTCCTCCATTTTCGTTCCTCTTTGATTTGAATTTGTATGTTGGAAGTGCATTAATTAATTCTGATGTAGCTCCTCTGGTAAGGGGAAGGTCTTCTCTAAAGCCCAGGACAGAAATTATGCAAGGTAAACAGCAGCAAATTGTTGCACAGAGAATAAAGGGCATTGCATACCCAATACAACTGAAAGTAAGGAAAGCTATACACAACCTAAAACATCAAACATTATTTTTATGTTAGCACAGAAAAAGGCTTCTAACTTCAAATAATGTAAGAAACAATAAATATTCATGTACCTGTACAAGTTGGGAGCATCTGCTGCTGAAGAATGGCCACCAAAAACCCAAACATTACCAACAACAAACCAAACAGCAAAGAAACACTCCAAGGCCATTTTGAAATGATCAACTAATGCGTTTAGCCTGTCAAGTGTATGGCGTCACCCATAAAAGGTTTATAAACGAGTAATAAGTAGACTAAGATACTCAAACAAGAAAGATTAAGAACTAAAGCCATAAATCATCATAAGGAATCAGATTAGCATATGGTAGAATCATTACAGATGAATAACTTGAGTTATAAGTGCTGATAACAAAAATGAAGGAGCGAAGGACAATCATAGAAGAAACTGAATTTATATAATTTAGAAATTATTCCTCCTACAACCTCAACTATAGGAGATGACGCCATTTAACTAGAAAGCTAAGGCAGCCATAAAGATAGAAATCAGGGGATTGTCATAAATATCACTGAATTTTTATGTATTTATGTATAACACATAAATATTTATATTTACTTATATAACACAAATTGATGGGGACATCGACAAGAGGTTTCGACGCATCTATCAAAGGCGACACAGGAGATCGATGGCCATGATGGAGAGTCTTTACTTTGATGCATTTTATGTATTAGTCATTTTATTTTTCTCAGATTTCCATTTTTTGCCCTTATGGGTAGTTGGTCATTATTGTAGCCCAAGGGCATTCTAGACTTTTGTTTTATTTGTTATGTTGAGGCCTATATATATGGCCATCTTCTTATGTATTGGGATGATAAATGATATGATATTTTACTTTGTTTTCTTCTTCTTCTTCTTCTTCTTCTTCTTGCGAGTGCACTCGAGAGAAGGGAGAGCCCAACATGTGGGCAAACGCAATACCCACCAGTCACTGGAAGAGTCCGTGGCTCGTGGTCTTTTATTATTTTCTTCTTCGTTTCTATTCTACCTCCGATTATCACCCACCATCTTTATCATCATCCTTCCACCTTCATCCCACCACCAAAATACCCCTTGAGCTCCACCTAAGTCTCCTTCCACATCCCCACCCGCCGGCCAAGCTTTTGGCCACCCCAACCCGACACCAAGTCCACGTTTTCCCCCTCTTGACCGCCGGCCCCCACCCACTTCAAATTCATTATGACGATTTAAAATTGCCATAATGATTCCCTAAATTAGCTCTTGCAATAAAAGAATTAGAGAATTTTGAAATTCAAATTTGAAATTAAAAAACTTTCCATATTTCCCAAAATCTAAATAAGGAAAATTTTCAAATTGGAATCCAATCGAAATTTAATTTAGAGATGACTCATTATTTTCCCTCATAACTGGCCAAACTTGTTTGAAAAGAGCATAACTCCTCCACAACCCCCTACCCTCCCTCTCAATGCCGCCGGCCCCCCTCCTTGATGGGCTCCCATTAAATGCCCATTAATCCCACTCAATTCTATTTGAAATTTGAAATCAATTTCAAATTGATTCCCTCCAAAATTACTCATAATCTGAAATTAATTTCAGATTTGGAGTAAATCTCTTTCTCCTCCATCTAACCTAAACTCTCCCACCCCACCACCCGCCCCTCTCTCTACCTTGGCCGCCCCTCTTCTATCTCCCTCCCTTGGGAAGTTTTGGTTACTCACATTATTTGAAGCCAAGAGAAGAAGACGACGCCCTCTCACCTTCTCTTCAATGTTGAATGGCCGATCCCGAGATCGATCTCGGATTCGTATTTGACGAAGAGGGAAGGACGGATATCCTTGGTCCCCGTACTTTGACGATTTCTTTGGCAATGACGAGACCATTGAATGGTACATCGACCGCATCTCGTACCAATTGACATTGGCAATCGAAGAGCACCTTCCACCAAGTCGTTGGATCATCGTCCACCACCTTCCCCACAACCGGCTACCACTCCATCGACGAAGGTCTTCGGCACCGTCTTCCTAGTGGTGATTTCTTTCATCGTATGCTTCATCTTCAACCGCTAAACTGTACTTTGAGTGTGAGTGAGTATGGTAACTCATAGTGAACTTTCTAAACAATAAACTTGAGATTTTATTACAACATATTTGTTCTACTGTGATAATTTCAGATCTATCTTAATTTGTCCTAAACTTCTAGTCGTGACGTCGTGTAATTGCTTATCATAATAAAATTGACGATTGAGAGTTCTTTAATCTCGCCTTACGAAACATTATTCTTAAGTAGCAAGCGTCGTGATTCTTTTAAATATTTTCGTGAAATTCTTGTATTGTTTCACATCATTTTGGTATCAGAGACAGGTTGGCATAGGTGACATATGCTAAAAAACATCCTTAGAGTCTACCTAACCAACCATCTGCTTGTTTGCATGCATACCATCGTTTAATTAACGTTAGTTCACTGTTTTCCCTGCTGTCCAGTAATTTCCTGCACCGTTTTTTTCATTTTAAGCAAGCCTACTTCAATGTTTAAGTGTTACCCTTGTCACAACAACATCCCTACTTGCTTAGGTTGCTTAAACAAATATCATAGGTTGCTGTCCACATTTTTCCTGCACCTGTTAGTGGCATATAGGTGAGTTTGGGATTGTGTTTAAGTGCTGTCCACACTCTAGAAGCCCTCCAAAACACTTAGACAACTTAGATCTTTGCTGTAGTTTGCTGTCTTGTTCATTTCAGCATCATTTAGAAGCTATAGGAGCATATTTCCTTAGCGTTTAGGTGCTGCCCTTGACCTGGTACCCTTCCTAGTCACCTAGACAATTTTATCCACTAATGGGGTTTGCTGTCCACATCTTTAGTGCACTTTCTAGTGACAATTTGGAGAGTCTAGCTTCGATTTAGGAGTTGTCCCCTATCTAGATTCATCCCTAAGTGTTCCCACGCTTTCCCAATGGACCCGACAAGACTTCAAAAGAAGTTAGATGACATCGTTAACCTAGTGGGCTCTATGACTAAAATTATAATGGAGAAACTTGTTGACTCTCCCCTCTCTAAGTACGTGCCTCATTCGATCAATCCTGCTAGTCGGAAGATTTCCCACTCAACTTACCAACCTAGACCTGAGCCTAAGCCTCAATGACCTCACTTAGAGTCACCTTACTGTTACCCACCTTTGATGGTTCATCGGACCCTTCCTACTTTAAGGAATGGGTTAGACAACTAGAGGGCTATTTTGAATCATGTCATATCCCTGAATCCCACCAGGTTAGCATCTCTAAGTCTCACCTAAAAGATCGGGCTCTTTAATTTTGGATGAGATTGGAAGATCATAAAGAGTCTCGCGGTGAGTACCCTACTTGGAAAGACATGAAGCGAGAACTTAATTTAAAATACCAACCCTCTACCAGTAACCTCCATCTAGAACACCACCCTACCTCTTTTGATGGAACAAACCGTGGACATCACTGTGATCGAAACCACCCATCTTTTAGTAACATCAGGGTTGCTGCCCCACCCTGTACGTCTTCACCTAACCTTGATGGCTGGCCCTCTATTAGGTCTTCTGTTGGATCAATCTCATATGACTACCCACTTGGACTCACTTCTAGCCATCCCAGTCAACCTTTAGCCTCCCCAGTCCTTGATCACAATGCAAGTGTGATTTTAATAAAGAATTGCATTAAAAAGAAAAAAATCTATTGAACCTGAGACTGATTACATCCATTTTGTGGATACTAACGATAACAAGGACTTCTTTGAGGATGAAACTGAAGTGAGTGAATCAGACTCCCGACACGACTTAAACCCTGATCTAAGAAAGTTATAACCTTTAAACGTTGACACCATAGCCCACCCTGATCTTAGTCTCCTCAAGGATATCGCATTGGATAAGGTCTACCTGGATGATAGTAATTTGATTTCGAAGGGAGCTGATCTGATCGTGAACACATTGAAATTAACTTCTAAAGGTTCTGATTCAATCGTATCTATTACTGAGAATATTTCGAATAATTCTGATTTAATTTCGGATAATTCTGATGGCAACGTGGATAATCTCAAGTTAGAAGGAAGTCAATTGAATTTATCATCTGATTTAATTGAAGCATGACCCATTGATCTTAGCGTTATGACCATAACTGATCCTATTGAGAATATTAATATGAATTTGAGAGATAGTGATTTGACCCTGAGTGGTTCTGAACCTAATTGGAGATTTGAGCGCCCTCATGTTTTATTGGAGTCTATTTTAGGAGTGACCCCTTTAGAATTGCATTTGAAAGAGTGTGACTTTCGTGATTGGACTTATCTCACCACTCCTCATACCGACTTTAATGTTAGAGAGAGTCTTAGCCATACTTTCTTGTCATAGCTCTAACTGTTGTGCCCACTTTTGTTATGGATATCCTACCCAACTCCTTGAGTCTCATACCTGATGGTGACTCTGTGGTTTATCCATTATAACTGTGAGTCAGGACCCATTGTCTTATCTAATTCCTGATTCATTTATCTTAGCCATACTTTGTTATGGATATCCTACCCACTCCTGATTCTTATCATTCATCATGCACACCTGATCTCTTGCATCCACATTTGCATCTCATATTCAAGAATTGCACAAGGAAATAAATAAAAGAATTCAACGAAGCAATGTTCACTATAAGATTGATGTTGATCGTAAGAAAAGATTTAAAGAATTTGAAGTTGGAGATTTTGTTATGGTACGGATCCGACCGGAGCGTTAAGAAAGTTATATGCTAGAAGTGCAGGGCCCTTTAAGTTAATCTCGAAAGTAAACAGTAATGCTTATGTGTTAGACCTTCCTGAAGGCTTTAATATGAATCCTATGTTTAATGTTGAAGATTTAGTAACATTTGAGGGACCTGAGTTTAACCCTGTTAAGCCACTTCATAATGAGCCTTGTGAGAACCCACCCAGTGAGATCCCCAACCTACCTCCACTACCCAATTTACCTTACTTACCCATTGCGGAGAAGGTTGAAGCTCTACTTGACGATGAAATTATTTCCACGAAAGAAGGTAGGCGCAAAGGTACTTAGTTCACTGGAAAGGGAAACTGGTGACGGAGGACACGTGGATCGATCGAGAGGAGCTACAAAGATTGGATCCAGACCTTCTAGAGCTATACGAGAGCTCCAACAGTACTCACTCGACGGGGTCGAGTTTTCTCCCACCTGGGGAGAATGATGAGGACATCGACAAGAGGTTTCGACGTGTCTATCAGAGGCAACACAGGAGATCGATGGCCATGATGAAGAGTCTTTACTTTAATGCATTTTATGTATTAGTCATTTTATTTTTCTCAGTTTTCTGTTTTTGCCCTTATGGGTAGATGGTCGCTATTGTAACCCAAGGGGCATTCTAGTCTTTTATTTTATTTGTCATGTTAAGGCCTATATATATGGCCATCTTCTTATATATTGGGATGATAAATGATATGATATTTTATTTTGTCTTCTTCTTCTTCTTGTGAGTGCACTTGAGAGAAGGGAGAGCCCAACGTGTGGGCAAACACAATACCCACAAATCATCGGAAGAGTTCGTGGCTCGTGGTCTTTTATTCTTTTCTTCTTCATTTCTATTCTACCTCCGATTATCACCCACCATCTTTATCATCATCCTTCCACCTTCATCCCACCACCAAAATACCCCTTGAGCTCCACCTAAGTCTCCTTCCACATCCCCACGCGCCAGCCAAGCTCTTGGCAACCCCAACCCGACACCAAGTCCACGTTTTCCCCCTCTTGACCGCCGACCCCCACCCACTTCAAATTCATTATGACGATTTAAAATCGCCATAATGAATCCCTAAATTAGCTCTTGCAATAAAGGAAGGAATTAGAGAATTTTGAAATTCAAATTTGATATTAAAAAACTTTCCATATTTGCCAAAATCTAAATAAGGAAAGTTTTCAAATTGGAATCCAATCTAAATTTAATTTAGAGATGACTCATTATTTTCCTTTCCAATTGGCCAAACTTGTTTGGAAAGAGCATAACTCCCCCACAACCCCCTCCCTCCCTCTCAATGCCGCCGGCCCCCCTCCTTGATGGGCTCCCATTAAATGCTCATTAATCCCCCTCAATTCTATTTGAAATTTGAAATCAATTTCAAATTGATTCCCTCCAAAATTACTCATAATCTGAAATTAATTTCAAATTTGGAGTAAATCTCTTTCTCCTCCATCTAACCTAAACTCTCCCACCCCCCCACCCGACCCTCTCTCTACCTTGGCCGCCCCTCTTCTATCTCCCTCCCTTGGGAAGTTTTGGTTACTCACATTATTTGAAGCCAAGAGAAGAAAACGACGCCCTCTCACCTTCTCTTCGATGTTGAATGGCCGATCCCGAGATCGACCTCGGATTCGTATTTGACGAAGAGGGAAGGAGGGATATCCTTGGATCCCCGTACTTTGACGTTTTCTTTGGCAACGACGAGACCATTGAAGGGTACATCGACCGCATCTCGTACCAATTGACGTTGGCAATCGAAGAGCACCTTCCACCAAGTCGTTGGATCATCGTCGGCCACCCACCACCCTCCCCACCACCGGCTACCACTCCATCGACGAAGGTCTTCGGCTCCATCTTCCTAGTGGTGATTTCTTTCATCGTATGCTTCATCTTCAACCGCAAAACTGTACTTTGAGTGTGAGTGAGTATGGTAACTCATAGTGAACTTTCTAAACATTAAACTTGGGATTTTATTACAACATATTTGTTTTACTGTGATAATTTCAGATCTATCTTAATTTATCCTAAACTTCGAGTCGTGTAATTGATTATCATAATAAAATTGACGTTTGAGAGTTCTTTAATCTCGTCTTATGAAACATTATTCTTAAGTGGCAAGCATCGTGATTCTTTTAAATATTTCCGTGCAATTCTTGTATTGTTTTACATCACAAATCTTTAAATCAAATAAAAAATACTACAACCATTAACTTCTTTAAAGTGAAATACACCTTTTCATGCAAATATTTTGTTGTAATTTATGTATTAGGGTGTTATATTGATAAATATAATGATTTAGATTTTAGATATATAAATGTCTAAGAATTAAATTGTAGGTATGTAAATCCCTTAGAAAATATAATATTTATCACCATGACATTTTAGAGAATCACAAGAAAATAGTAAGCAATAGAGATCAAACTCTATGAACTTCTAGAATGCAAGTTTTTTTTTTTGGATTGATTCACTTTTTGAGCAAAAAGTAGAGTTAGGACTAGAATAAAATGAGCTAGTTTAAATCAAGACATCTCAAGATCAAAATCGTGTGATCCACAAGATGATTACAAGTTAGCTGCCTATGGTTTCTTTTTTTCCCATTTTTCTTTCACCTAGAACTTTTTTAGAGTGAACATAAAAAATCCCTTTGTCAAAAAGCAATGCACATTTATTTGATGCATCTAATAATTAACATCCAGAAAGTAAAACTTCTATTTTTTTTTTTTTTTAACACGCACATAAGGATCTTTACATCAACAATGAAGCAAATTACCTCTTTGTTATTGTATGTCTAACAAGTTATTATAATTAAATCATTGTCAAAACACCCAAATTCTTGAACATTTAGGGGAGGCCTTGGACACCATAAACTGAATAATCACAATAATGTAAAGAAGGAACCAACAATCTACATCGAATATGCAAACTTTCTATTGAAATCCACCTAATTATTCATGAAACATTCACAATTAAATATCAAGATCCAACATCTAGCTCTATGACCTGATTTTACTCCTTTTTCTCCACTGATCTGGTGTTTCAAAAAAACTCTATGCAACAATTTCAAACATATCCCACAAAGATGCAATTCGAATAATGAAGATTACTGGTGTTTCATATTGCCAAACAACTCGATAGAGAATATTCAGAGATGCATATTAGATGTTCAAAACATTATCATATAGCCATCAATACCTTGAATTAGTCAATACAAAATTTTGACCCAAACGTAAGAGTGTAGTGGTACCACGGCTAAAACTTCCTTCCATAGCTTGTGTGAAAGAAGCATCAGCATATGCTACAGATTCAGTAGCATTATTCCGAAAAGAATGCTGATGTGATTCTGCTGATTCTCGGCCAGACCTGTGATAGTTCCGATGAATGTATCGCCACCAGAGATGAGGAAGAATAGCAAAACAGCCTACCGTATAACCAATGACCCAAGCAAATAATGGAGCTCGAGGATGCTCATGTCTGGACAAAGATAAAACCACAATAGCTGCTACAATCTGGCTCACATTGGCAGCCAGTTCAACTGAAATCCACAAGCCAGAATTGAGAGGATTTCTGTGACGTTGACCAAGACTTTCAACTCTTCCTCTACGAGGAGCACCCCTAGAGGTAGTGGTTGGTGATGAAGATAACCAAGAGGCAGCAGCTTGGCCGTTAGTTGAGGGCCTATCTTCATTGTGCATTTCAGGAGATTCATTATGCTCGCCTTGAGTAACTGATGCTGAAGTAGAACCACCAATTGTTACATCAATAACATGATTGTGCTCATGTTCATTATAATAAACTGAATGCTCCATCAGAAAAGGATCTCTGTCAGAATCACCTTCTCCTTGCACATCCAGGCAGGGCAGAGCCATCAAAGTAGACTAACAGATTTGGAAGAAAAGTTAGCATATAAAGTGAGATATATGCCCACTTCCAAGTGCTTTAACATTAAACAGGAAACCTTGAAGAAACGAAGTGCTCTTCCAACAGTTAACTTGCTTATGAGCAAGTTGGTGATGCACAGCGGAATACAATATCTTCCATTTAAGTATTAATAACCAAAACCAGCATATAATTTCTTCTAATAGGAAGAAGATAGGCATAGAAATACTGCACCAACAAAGTAAGAAAAAGCAATTAAGAAACCAGAAATATGCACCAAAACCACATCAAACTTAAACAAGTCACTTGCACAAATACAGATGAGTTACTAATGATGAGATATCCCAAGTGAAGAGCACAAAAGTAAAGAATACAAAAGATGATGGGTGGCATGCATTGTTTTCTCTGTAGATTGATAATTGATCCATATAAGAAAATGCCAAATGTCTCAGTTCCTCAATTATCATGGAAAGAAAAATAGAAGAATAAGCAAATTACTCTCCTGGAAAACTTTGCAATTTTGCATCCTTCCTGGAGTGATAATTAAAGCTATCTTCAACTTAGCATTCATATTTTGCATTCTACCGCACTTGAAAAGTTTCTAAACAAACAAACAGTTTCACGATCATGAAACTCATGAGAAGTGTCCCTTCATTATTTAATGATCTCTGCGCCACATCTTTAATGCTAGGCACAAGGTTCATCCAAAAGTTAAAGAAATGTGGAAGGGAATACAAGTAAAAATATTCCCAGAAAAAAAATTGAATGGCAGATAATCACAAAAGACAACCAGCCTCCTAAGAAAAGCAGCAAGCATCAGAATTAGCCTTGCGAAGCTAAAAAAATGGAGGTTGCTTAGGTATTCCTCATGATGCAGCTCTAAGTTAGAAACAAAAACAGCATAACTTGAAGAAAATATAAATTACCTAAAAGAAATTAGTCACACAACGCCCATTCATTTTCCCCATTACTTAGCAACAAGTAAATGAACCAGCATTGAAATCACGAATCAATTTAACGAGAAGAAAAGAAAGCACTAACCATGCGAGTTATTCTAGCCATACATCCGACTTAACCCGCAATCGATCCTAAAATAGCTACCCATTCCACTTAGCAGAAGTCATTTAAACGCTCAAAACCACTCAACGTGAACGGATCGGAAGCAAAAAAGTTCTCGAACCGCTTACGAGCAAAACCAGAAACCTCACCTACCAACCAAAACCAGTTGCAAACCAACCAAATCCACGCAAAAGACGAAATATGCTCCAGCTAGTTCACAAATTGCAGAGGACCCGCAGGGCAGCACCATCCCTACACTGAGGACCCGAAGCAAAATTCCCCCCATGTGCAAGCAACTCAAAAAAGTATTGAAAGAAAAAAAAAATCCATAAAATCTCTAAACCTAACAGAAAATAACTTAACCAAGAAGATTCAACTTTACTTTTCACGATTAAAACAACTAGAGTTGTCGCATTTTTAAAGGAAAAAAAAACCCTAGCAATAGAAAGTGATTCTCGTTTATTTAATACGAAGAAGAGCTTATATACAAGATGCGTACGAAAGAGAAGCGAGCTTACGGAGATTAGACATTAACGTGAGATCTTCAGCCCGGCAATGGCGCTCCGATTACCAATTTTTCTTTTCTGGCTTCAACTCTCGTCAGTCTCCAGACTCTCCACTGTCCAGAAATGATTCTTCACCCACCGCTATGGAATAATGGGGAGCGAGGTGGACGAAAAGGGTACAAATGGAATTTCGCTTTTCAGACGTATGTTCCAATGTCCGTGGGATGACATTTCAACACTCCAAGTTTTGGGAAAAATTTTTATTTTTTTATTTGAAATGAAAAACCAAATAAATTTTGTGATTCAAAATTATTATGTTGAGGATATTTTTCATAAATTATATTAAATTCGATTTATATATATATATATACTTCGATTAGTAAGTTACAAAATTTTCACTTGTTCTGTTTATTTATTTTAAAATATTAATTAAAATAATTTTTTAAAGTAATTAAATCGATTATAATTCTTTAAAATAAATTGAATTATTGGAAATTGTTGTTTTTATTTTTAATTATATTAAAAATTGAATTTTGATTAAAAAATAATTATAAAATATATTGATTTACATTGATCTTAATTTATGAGTTAAAGTTTCATAGATTGAGCCATTTGTTTAAATTGTGGATTCAATTTGTAGCTAATAGAGGACCACAACGATGCTCTTAGAGACTTAGGCTTCGTTTGGGACGGCTTTATTACTGCTTCTTAAAATAATATTTTAGTATAAAAATTAAAAATTTTAACTAAAATTTACTTTAAGAACAAGTAAAAAAGCTGTCCCTTAGGCTCCGTTTGGAATAGTTTTTTTAAATCAGCTTTTTAGTATAAAATTAAAATTTTGTACTTAAAAATTGCTTTAAAAAACACTAAAAATGTCATCTTAAACGAAATATTCGTTTGGGATAGCTTTTTTACTGTTTTCTAAAATAATTTTTTACAATATTTTTTTAATTAGAAATTGTTGTGCTAAAAAAATACTTTAAAAAAGTTATCCCAAATGAAACCTTAAATAAATTATAAATAGAAATTGTTGCTCTCATAACTAAGCTTTATTGAAATTATTTGAGTTTTATTTTGTGGATGGATTAGTTGTTTGTTTCACTCCCACTTTCACTATCAGCATTTCATTGATTTGAACTCCTTAAGTTGTTTTATGATTCATAAATTGTGAATCAACATATAACTTTACAAAGCTTGGTTATCTATAACTTTCATGATCATCACTTTAGTTGATTCAAACTTCATTACTTGTAATTGTACTGATTAGTCCTTTAATTTTGATTGGAATTGCATGATTTTAATAGAGAAATTTAATTTTATATGCCTCATAATATGGTGTAAGTGAGTCGAGCCGACTCAAACTCGACTCATTAACGATCTTACAAGTCGAGCTTATCGAGTCACGAGTTCAAGCTGGAACACTAAACAAGCTTAAGCTCGAGCACAAGCTAGCTCGACTTGAAAACTCGTTAAGCTGCTCGATTAACTTAAAATACATTTAAATTTTAATTTAAATTAGTACTATACGTACTTGGGCCTTATTTGGGATAGTTTTTCAATGCTTTTTAAAGCAGTTGTTTTGTATAAAAAGCAATAAAAAAACTGTCCCAAATAAAACTTTAAATTTATATTAAAAAAAATATTTTCAATAATATTATTGATACTTCTTCAATTCTTGTTATAGTTTTCCTACTGTCATAAAGGAAGTGCTCATAGATACATCTTCATCACTGATGTTGCTACCATCATCTAGTCAATAATAGATATCAGTTCTTACCTCATCCCTTCTGAGATTTATGGATGACTTGGAGCATCTTCATCTGCTGAAAAATTATTCTGGGCAGATTCGGATGACGCCTGGAGATCAATCAGAATGCGTAACGACACTTTTTGCTTGGTGTCGGTGCTCAGTACCGTTGTGTACCGGGTGATGTGGCGCGTTCTAATTAGTCTCCGGACCGCCCAGTGTCCGCACAGAATAATTTCTCTTATTTGTAGGCTCTATATTACTACTTCCTTTTGTACTTGAGCTTCATTCGGACGTATCGAATTTTTAAAGCATTGTTTCCTCTCCATCAAGATCTTGCAATTTTAAAAGTTAAAGAATTCCGGCTTCATTTGAGATAACAACATTTTTTTAGATACGAATGTGAAGCTGTTGTAGGAAAAATAATTTTTTAAAAGTTATGAAAGAAATTATAAATATGCTCTTTTAAAAAAATCAAGGAACTGCTTTCTTAAAGTTACTGCATATTAGTAAATCTAATTATAAAAAACAGTTTGTCATCATAAAAATTTCTTTAAAATAACAAAAAATAGCAAAAAAGAACAACTGCTATCAATTGGAGTCTGAAAAGCAAAACAGTAAGAAAGCTGTCATAAATAAATCTTTAAATGTATAGATTGTTAGAAATTGGTTCGGTTTCAGATTATGTTGATCGTCATAGACACCACATCATATGTAAATGCCTATAAATAGATATTATAGGCTGATATAAAGAGGCCATTCTAATAAGCCCTATTGATCCTGTTAGGTATATCCCTGTGCTTCCTCTCCCTCCCTCTCTTTCTCTAAGAAAGCTCAAGCTTCTTTTCAAGAATTACATAACAGTATAAGATATTATCCCCTGGTATAATATTTATAAAACTTCAATATTTTATTTTCTTTAATTTTAATTATAAAATATTAATAAAAAAAAAACTCAAACATGTCGATATTTTATTCTAAAAATTGTCCTTAGCAAGTGAAGGTTTTATTTGGGATGATTTTCTTATTATTTTTTTAAAATATATTTTTTAATATAAAAATTTCAAGTTCAAAATTTTTTTCGAGTTTTCAATTTGAACCCATTTGGGCTCAGATTGAGTCGAATTTGGTGTCGTTGGGTTCGTCTCATCGAGAAGATTAGTTCGACTTTAAGTTTGTTTAAATCGGAGTGCAGACCATCTTAGATTTTATTTTTGAAATTTCTAACTTCATTTTGCCTCGAGATTTCTGCCCGGTCAAGATACCTTTTTGATGATATAACACTAATTAAATTTATAATTATATTAAGTTATAAACTTATTAATTTATAAATTAATATAGTTATAATTATTAATCAAAATTAATAACTTTATAACTTTATCTAATTATAAATTAAAATTAAAAACTTTGTAAGTTAATTTAAATAACCTTATAACTTTATAAAACATATTTTATGTCTGTTTCTCTCACCCCACATTTCTCTCTCCTTATTCCGGCAAATTATTGCGTCCGGTGTCCGGATACGTCCGGACACCAATCCAGACACGCCACATCAGCAAAATACACTGGGTCCCGATGTATTTGAGTGATGTGGCGCATCCGGATTGGTTGTCCGGATGTCAGGTGACCGGATGCAATAATTTGCCCCTTATTCCTGGTCTCTCTCTCTCCTCCCGGCACAACAAAATGAGAAATACCCTCTTATTTTTGGCGTTTTTTAAGAATACGTCTAAATATATGACATTTTTTAGAGAGAAAGTCAAACAATTCGGCGTATTCTTAATTAATTATGTTTACTACAAAAAACACCAAATTATTTAGCGTATTTTTTCATTTTTAAATTATTTAAAAATTACACTTTTTTTTGCTTAGTTACACACAAACTATGCTCCTTTTTGAAATTCGGCCTTTAGGCGCATACCCTGCCATCTACCCTCTCTCTCCCGCTGCCATTATTCCCTCTTACGTGCCCCTCTCTCTCTCCCCTCTCTCTCTTATAAGTTTTATGTGAGTAATACGCCATTTAAAATGACGCATACCCTCTCTCTATTTGTTATATGAATAATACGTCAAATTGAATAACGTATTTGTTCTTTTCTAAATTTTAATTAATTAATACTCCTTTTATTAATTTTGAAAATAATATTACTCCCTTATAAAATTTGGCCTTAACAAAAAACTCAAATATGTCTATATTTTATTCTAAAAATTGTCCTTAGCAAGTGAAGGCTTTATTTGAGACGATTTTCTTATTACATTTTAAGATAAAATTTTAGTATAAAAATTTCAAAATTTAAAATTTTTTATATTAAATATTTACTTAAGTAAAAAATTATACCAAATAAAATCTACATCATTAACTTGAGAGAATGAACTTCTAATTCACAAATAATTTATTCTAACTATTTTTTTTTATATGTCATGTGACCATGTGACATATAAAATAAGTATGACACATGTCTTGTCATGCATAAGACAAGTTAGCCATGTCTTATCTTTTGAAGATATTTAACAAAAAAAAGAAATATAAGTGCAGTCTTTGTACTGTAACAAAAAAGACAAGTTTGATAATTGAAGGATTAAAATAATATCATTACTTTAACTACTCATTCATTAGAGGAAAATGACATTTATTCACCACATATCTGTCACCTCAGATCTTCTCACTTATTCAAAACATCAAGAAAAAATCATCCTACTTTGCGCCATTAGTCCTCCTCTTCCTTTCATCTGAAAGCAACTTCGCAAATCGGATAAGAGCTTCCTCATTTGTTCCTTCGCCTTCAACAGGCTCATATCTTCCGGTCTCTATATTGACCCTTGAAACTGGCTTCTTCAACAGATTATTTCCTATCTTAACCAACCCCTCCAGGTTCTCCTTAGTCGATATATCCACAGATGCTGAGTTTCCACTCAGTGTATCGTCCTGCAAGTCAATTCTCATTAATATAACAATCAAAATCAAACTACGTCTTCATTTGGGACAGCTTTCTTACTGTTTCATAAAGCTGAAACAATAAGAAAGCCGTCCCAAACGAAGCCTATATCTCTTTTCAAAAATTACCTGAAGGCGAAGATAATTTTGCTCAGAATGCAAAGTTTGGAAGAGTATGGATGTTAGTATGTCAGCCATATCTGCACTTGCTTGAGAGTACATATCAATAATGGGTGTATGGCCATTGAGATATAGCCATGGAAGAACACCCCACTTTGCTGCACTTTTTGCGTCGTACTTCTCTTCCAGTTTGGCTGCTCCAGTACCAAGAGATAGCACAAGAAACTTGCTATATTCAGCTGGTTTTACTGGGAAATCTTCTTGCAGTTGCTTGAATATGCTCTTACTCACCATATTTATTGCAAGCAAAGTCTGTATATTTACAAACAAGTGGTTAATTATTAGTTGGGCTATCGAAAAAACTCATTGCGCATGTTTAATCATATTCGGCTCAATAAATTAATGACTTGAATACAAACAAAATAGTTTGATTTATATTACTTTGCTTAATAAGCCAAGGCTTAGGTATGGGACAGCTTTTTAATTACTTTTCAAAGTATATTTTTATATTAAAAAACTGTTTTAAGAATCAGTAAGAAAATCATCCCAAAAAAGTCTAAATGCATAGAGTAAAATTTATGTTTAAGCATAATTACAGGATTATTTGCTGCAAGTCCTCCATCAGCAAGATTGAAGCTTCGAGTTTTGCCTTTTGAGTCTTTAGTTTCAAAGTAGTGAGCAGGTAAGTAAGTTGGTGCAGCTGAAGTGCCAATGCAGATATCTGATAAATTAGCATCCTTTAAAGGTGTGGCTTCTACCTATACATAAATAAAACAAATTAAACTGAGATTAATAATTAATGATGGCTAATTAGCCAGATATTAATTAAGAATTTGTTTGGGATGACTTTCTTATTGCTTCTTAAAGCAGCTTTCTACTTAAAAGCTATTTTAAGAAGCAAGAAGAAGTCCCAAATGAAGCCTAAATCAATAGTACGTACCTCGAATGAGGAGAAGATAGTGGGTTGAAGGAGCTTGATATCGAAAGTTGGGATGACAACATTGGTTAGAGTTTGATGAAGCTTTGTATCTCCAAGAATGCCTTTAATTAGAGAATGGAGGTATTTCCCATCGTATTTAGGCCCAGCAAATTCACTAACTAAATTACTTGTCGTGCCAAATAATCCTGCCCTGCAACAGTTCATTTGTATATAAACAATTAGCTAATCAATCCTTGATGAAATCAAAGCTTCTATAACTTACATGCTTACATTTTCTGAGGAAAGATCTTTGGTGAGTTCTTTAGATAGAAGTCGTTGATATCTTTGGCTGAATAGAGGGGACGATTAGATTTGTTTGGAGCAGTTAGCATTGTGGTGACCAAGCCTCCAGTGCTTGTTCCTGCAATCACATCAAAGTAGTCTGCAATCCTTACATTCTCTCCATCAAGCTCCTGCAATTAATTCATTTTTTAGCAAAAAATGAATGGAACTATTAGGGACTGTTTGGCAACAAGTTGGATTTAACTTTAGTAAGATTTATTAAATCCTGAAAATTGTTTGATAAGAAAAATATTAAATCCCGTTAAATTTTGTGGAGCCTTAGACAATGTAACTTAGAATTTAAGGCGGTTAGTTCATTAAAAAAATCAACTTTAATTTGAATTTTAATTTTTATTTGTATTTTAAATATAAGTTATATATAAATTCTAATTATAATTAGTAAGTTATATAATTAAGACGGTTAGTTCATTTAAATATAAGTTATGTTAACGTGGGACTGAGCACTTAATAATTTCTCCTTGGCATGACAAACAGAGTTAATTTGAAGGAGTGGCTAAATAACTCCTTCGACGATGTTTCTTCTAGTCGGATCCGAAGTCTGACCTCCTCCTAGTTCGTTTGTTCGATCGAAAGTAACGACGACGATGGAAGCTTTCTTGTTGCGAAGGTAGCCATCTTTCTTCCATTCACGCCCTTCTTCGGCCAAATCTCGTAAATCCGCCAAACTCTCAAATTTAATAAATATGTTAAAGAAGGATTTATCCCTAAATCCTGTTTGGCCAAACAGGATTTAGCATAAATTCTGCATAAATCCTGTATCCAAAGAGCCCCTTAAGATTGTTGAAGGATCTTTTCTATATGAAAACAACTTGTAAATCTCCCTTTGACGGCTGGAAAGACATTAATGTTAAATGATTAAGAAGCTAATTACATGAGTTTAGCAACATGCCTGCAGCTTGGATTCAAGAAAAGCAAGAATGGTTCCTGGAATAATTCCTCTCACACCTCCTCCATCTATGCTTAGAACAGTAATCTGTGTGAGACCAGCAAAGCTAGGAGAAGCTTTGGGTGAGGGCGAAGAGGAGCTATCTTCCTTTGTCGCCATTGATGCAAAGCTTTAATTAAAAGATAATTAGTAGCTATAAATGATTTCTGATATGCTGTAATTAACTCATGAATTCCCAATATTTATAGTAGAGCTTTCTTGTTGAAGAGAAGAATGTGAGGGGTTGGATGACGTTGACCTAAATTATATTATCCGTAATTATGCCTAGCTGAAGTAGTTGTAGGTTATAACTTTTTTTTCTTCTTGTAATTAATGGTGCAAGTCAATGATAGCTGGCCTGAAGCCATAGCAAGTAAAGTTATAACCTGAGTTTGAGTACAAGTTATTTCGTGCGGAGTTCGGATATAGCTTGTATTTGGATTTCAATGAAATCAAATCACGTAATTTATACATATTATGTGTAGAACCCGTATCTAGGATGTGCATAATTCACATATTGTATAAAAGCCATGTGATTTAATTTCATTGCAGTCAAAATAGGGGTGGATCCACCTTAAGCACAGGTAATTTATCCCCACTAAAATAACAATTTTTTATTATATGATCCTTTGGATAATTTGTTCAATTGCATCTATTTTTTAGTTTTTATTATAAGAATTTTCGGGCGATTGACTTCATTAAAAGTTATAAAATACTTTGGTCTTTAGGTAATTGCCTCAGCATAATTAAACACATTGTGTAGATGTGTTATTGTTAGAGAATGATGAACCAAATAAGAAGAGAAATAGTAAAGAGAATTCAAAGATAAAACCCACGTAGGGGCACTGTCCCATGACCCCACCACTTGACCGAACAGGTCAAACTCTGTCAGGGGGCATTGCCCCCCTTGGACCCCCGATATATCTACAAAGCGTACAACGATCAATGATATGAATAAATAAAGATCAAGGGACAGCGCCCCCGGTATAAATTTTGATTGCAAGAAAATTTTTGAAAAAAAAAAAAATCTTTATACTTTTACTTATAAGTTCTCCCCACCCTAAAAATTAAGATTGATTCTGCCCCTAAGTCCAAATGCATCCCAACTCCACATTTAATAAGTTCTCCAATTTGAGACTGTCATATTAGTTTTTTTTAATAAAAAAATCAAATATATTTTTAAAAATACTAAATTTAAATATACTCACATTAATTTTTATATTGAGAAATTTTTATTTATTTTTCTTAAAATATTAAATCTATCAGCAAAATCAACATATTCAAATTCAACTGCAAAAAAAAAAAAAAACTAAACTACTGGCAAGTTGTGTTCTATTTTTTAATAGAGAGGTGAATGATTCATCTCATCTCTTTTGAACAAGTCCAAATGATGCACATTAAATTATATTAAAATTTATATTTTTGCATTACGAGGCACATTTAATGAACTAATAAGGTTAAAAACAATAAATTTTTATTATATTCTACTCATTCCATTTCATCACGATTCACGACTCTTGCAGAATATATGTTATAAAATATTAATTTTAATATGTCAGAATTCTCGGAGATAAATTAAATAAATAAAAAATACTAAAATAGTTTTTTTGGAACGAGATATCTAGCCGCTCATATTTCATTAGAGGTGCATGGCGGCATAGCTAATTCCTCAATGAGCCTATCAGCAATTAATCTCATAAGTACAAGACCCGCAATTATTTTCTCCAATTAAAACTTTCTTGAATTCGAACAATTATTACGTCCTCCGACCGGACGTAGAGGAACGTCCGGTCGGAGGCCAAATCGTGCCAAAAAATGAGAAATACCGAGCAATATCAAACAATAACAAGGAATACCATCACGTGAAGATCCAATACCGAGTTATACCGAGCAATACCGAGTTATACAAAAGTTGTACCGAGTTTTTCCTAGAAAAAACTCGGTATAATTCGGTATTGCTCGGTATAGCTCGATATAACTCGGTATTGATCTTCACAGAACGATATTCATCGTTATTATTAAATAATACCTAGCAATACCGAGCAAATACCGAATTTTTTGACGGGATTTTTTCTCTGACCCGATGACCCGACGTTCCGTCCTTACACCGGACCTAATAAAAGTTCCTTGAATTCGCCTATCTAGTTGCTTTAATGATGATGGTTGAGAGTTGTTATATTATTTTTACGAGGAATTTAAGAAGTGGAGAGAGCGAGAGATAAAGGACAAAAACTTTCATAGATTTCTATGAGAAGAGGTATAAAGAATTAAATGTAGGTGCTTCCATATGCTCGCATTTAAATTCAGCCAGACTATCTGATAGATTTTTCTATCTTAGGATCATTATAGAAAATATGATAAGAAAATAAAAATATTTGATCACAGATACATGATAATATTATTTTATCTTATAAAAAAATAAATTTGAGTGACATTTTATAGTATTAGGTAATTATCTTATAATTATTATTCAAATATCATATTAATTAATTTTTTTTATTATTTGTCGCATTAAAAGTTTATAATTAAAAAAAAATAACAAAAGGTTTAAGTTTTGAACCATCACTGGCCTTGAATTTTTTTTTAAAGCAAATTAAAATCCATTTCAAGATAAAGATACAACAAAGAATCCCAAACAGGGCCACATCAAAAAAGAATACAATCAATGAAAAATAAAACAACAACAGAGAGACAAAATTAGAGTTAGATAGGCACAAACAGAAAATCTCGGACTCAGACAGACAACTAGTTGCCATGGAGGGGCCATCTAAGGAGGACAGACAAAACATCCAAGCCGAGAAGCTGCCAAAAAACGAGCCACCAAGGGTGCCAACCAATCCTGGCCATTCAAGGCGCAGCAGCAAAACTGCTTTCTCATCGTCCATACCGTTAAATCCATCATCACAACCAAAGTAGCAAAAACCGAAATAGAAACAAACTTCCAAAATAAGAAAGTCAAAACACTTCCAAAATAAAAAAGTCATACTTCTTGGTTTTTCATTTATGTTGCCTCCCATAATTATCGAGCGAGCCTGTTTCCAAGATAATATCAATAAAATCTTCCCCACTATCCATTGTCATGTCATCATGCAACCAATCATATTGCCACCGAACATAATCTTTAACAACACTGGTTAACAAATTAACATTTGAAATGACAGAAATAGACACATGCACTAGTTGCGTCACAACACTTGCTTCCACAACAACAATCAAAGCTCTAACACCACTATCAACTAAAAAAGCAGAATTTTCAACAGACAACTCCGCCCCACCACCATAAATAGGACTATCATTAAGATTAACAGAACAATTTATATCATTCACAGACACAATGACATGGGGTACATTCGGAGAAACAACAACATACACAACACCGGAATCCACCAAAACACCATTAATACAGGCAACAGGGGAGAGATCGGGGTAAGAAACACCCACCTCACTGACATTAACAAGCTGGATAGGAAATTCCAACACATCAATCGAATCCACCAAAACAACAGGAGAAAGAGGAGTAACAGAAGAAACAACAGCATTAGAATGCGCAGTAAATCCAACCGGATCAACACCCTCAACCCCAATACCCACCAGAGACAATGACTGACACATAGGATTAGGAATAACTAAATCACCTCGAATAGACTCATGCTCAACAGGATCATAAACCACATCAGCTAAAGCACCGATACCAATATCCGACACAACAGGACCCCCAGGAGGCAAAGAAACAGGTAAATCACAAACCTGACCAATTGGAGCCAAACAATTACCCTTAACAGACTGCTCAACTATAGGAGAAACGACCTCCTCCGGAACACGGGGCAAATGGGGATGAAGAAGTGGGCATTCATGCTTCAAATGGCCCAAAGACTTACAGTAAGATCAATAAAATGGAAAAGGCTCCATCTCAACCATTTGGATATAACCCAAGCCCTCAGAGCCAACCAAACATTATCAGGAAAAACTTTGGTAACATCCAATTCCACCAAGACACGTGCAATCGACATCCGCCTACCAGAGGAGGTAGCCTGATCAATTTTCAGGGGTCCACCGAACATGGAACCAAGTTCATGGAGAATCCTAGGGGCAAAGAGATGCAGTCTCAGATTAGTAAAAGAAACCCAAATAGGGATAATGAGTGATCCAATTTCAACGAATGTCAGCCATTTTCTCACAGTTTAGGGTTTTAAATGAATTTTAACCAACAAAGAAAGCTATTAGTAGATGGTGGCTCATAATAGAAGCATAAGAACATTTCCATCAAGAGATATAATAGCCATACTTTTTTATTTATCTTATTAATTGTTTTAAACACTTATTATACATATAATTAAACTAACACAGAAAATTAAATAGGAGCTTAAATAAAAATTAATTATGTAAAAAATGTATGATTATAAAAATATTTTAAAAGAACAAAAATGCTAATTTAGTTAATATTTTCTTAAGAAAATGGTAATTAGATTATTAGATTAGCGTGTTTTTAGGGAAATATAGAAATATATTATTTTTAGTGTTTGATAAAAAAAATCTGATTATAAACAAGTAGAGAGAAGTTTGATTTTACAAGCAAGTATTTTTAATTTAAGAAGGAATAGTTTAATATTCAATTTTTTATGTTTAATATTTGTATATATTTTTTTTATTTAATGATAATTACTAAAAAAACTTGATTAGTATTAAAAAAATCCTAATTTAATATGTTATAAGTTTTAATTAAATTGTTAACATTATAGCGATTGATTAAATATTTAAAATATTTTGCTTTTATATTTTCTGTTAACATTTAAGTTAAAATTTTAATTAAATATTTAATAATATTTTATATAAACATGTAGAATAAATATTATATTCTTAAAATGTTTATATAATTTTAATTACATATTTAACCAAAAAATTTAATATTAATTTTTATATTTAAAAGTATATACATACTTAAATATAAAAAATTAAATATAAAAGCAGTAATGTGGATTAATAAGCTGGCAATCAGCATTCTGTACTTCTGAGTGCGACGCCCCCTCTTAAATAATGGCCGCTGGCTTTTCTGCTCTTATTTTTTTCTTGACTATTTACAATATTTTAACAAATTATTAAATAATTATATTAAGTATGAACCTTTTTTTTGTTAATTCACCGCTGTATATTTTTCTATATTATCACTTTAGAAAACAATATTAATGAAATCCGCTGGATAATTAAATTATATATAATTATTTTTATATGAATAAATGCAATTAAAAAATAGATTAAAATTGGGTAGGATGTCCTAACCCAATTTTAATCAGAATATATTTTAAATTTTAATATATAACATTTAAATATCCTTCATGATAAAACATATGATTTCGAGTGATCATTTTTGCACCATTAATTCTCATCGACTCACTCTCATGTGCTATTGGTGACATGCTTAATTAAAATCAGCTTTTCGATTCAATCCAAACTCAATAAATAATTGAACAATTCAGAATTTTGGAACCAAACACAACTAAAAAAACTAATTTTGTGAACTCGAATCTGAATTTTTTGTGTCGAGTCTATATTAAGTTGCTATGTCGGGTCATTTATTGATGGTCCGGATAAAATATTGAAAGAGAGAGGCATGAAAGACTTTTCATAACTAACAGAATGATGAAAATAGATTTTGGTCAACAAGTTTGAGAGATCTCCTCTAAAAATATGACTGAAGCTAAAACTAAAAGTCTAAAGGGGCTTAAAGTTGATTGTTTTAATTGCTTAACAGAGCAAAAATTTCGCCAACGAGGGAACCTGCTCTAATTTTTGTAATTCTTCATTTTTAAATTATTTATTAATCCAAAATAGTCACCAACATCTTTTTTTGGACACATGAAAAACATCAATGATTTTTTCCCCATTTGATTCTCTCTCACGACTCATGACCTCGAGCACGATTTTCATTTTTTCTTTCTCTCGTGTCTCGCGCGCCCCCAAACAAAGACCGCCCGTGGTCGATGTTTATGTCTTATAACCTCTAAAGGCCATGCTATTTGCATTCTCCTCTTGGATATAATAATGAGAAAAAAAAAAAACAGAACTGTTTTAATATATTCTAACATTCCAAATGAGATGACAAATTTAACTATTTTAAATTAGGCCCATCAGAATAAAATTTATGGCTCTGCCACTGTTGATGATCATAATTAGCTTTTTTGACTTGCTTGCATTAGAAATCACATTTATATATTATATGAATTGATCTGCTACGTTCAAAGGAATCATGCATTACAATTAATCTTACATGTTTTTTTTTTTAAGATAAAACCCACGGGGTCTACACGTTAATAAAGATAAAATTGCACGTCCTTAGAGGATGCGAAGCTAACATGCTCTTTAACATGCCCAAGGCTTTATTTGAAATGGCTTTCTTAGGGCTTCTTAAACCGGATTTTTAGTAAAAAGATTAAATTTTTTTGACTAAGAAAGTACAACAAGCAAACTAATGAAGGATAACATGTTAAGCAGCGGCTGCCATTTTTGTACCATTAATTCTTCTCTTCCTTTCCATTGAAAGTAAGTGTGCAAAGTGAATCAAGGCTTCTTCATTAGTTCCTCCACCTTTGACAGGCTCATATATCCCAGTCTCTATATTCACCCTCGACACATTCTTCTTAATCAAATTCTCTCCAATCTTCACCAACTCTTCTAAGTTCTCTGTCGTTGAGATGTCCACTGATGATGTGCTCCCCATCAATGTGTCATCCTGTTTAATCACAATTTTAAACAAATTAATCTCTTTCTTAAAACTACTTAAACCAAATATTAGAGCTTCTTCTCTTCTTCTTCTTTTTACCTGAATGCGAAGATAATTTTTCTCTGAATGTAGAGTTTTGAAGAGAATGCAAGTCATGATATCAACCATGTCTGCGCTTGCTTGTGAATATATGTCGATGATTGGCGTGTCACCATTGTTATAAAGCCATCGAAGCACTCCCCACTTAGCTGCATCTTTTGCATTGTAGTTCTCTTCTGCCTTGGCTGATCCAGTACCAACAGAAAGTACAAGAAACTTGCTGTATTCCACTGGATTTATAGGAAAGTAATCTTGGCTTTCCAGGAAAATGTTCTTGCTCACAATATTCATGGCAAGCAAAGTCTGTATAAATTCAGAAATTTAACTATAGATTAATTAGTATAAATTTACCTCAAATGAGGAGAAGATTGTGGGTTGAAGGAGCTTAATATCAAAAGTTGGGATAACTACATTGGTTAGAGTTTGATGAAGCTTTGTATCTCCAAGAATATCTTTAACCAGAGAGTGTAGGTACTTTCCATCATATTTAGGCCCAGAAATTGCACTGAAAATGCTCCTAGCTGAGCCAAATAACCCCAAGCCGCTGCATTTTAATTTGTTTCTATATCAGTAAAACCAAAAAAAAAAAAAAAAAAACATGAAATTAATTTATCTTTCTTATTGTGTTTCTTTTCTGAAATATGTGGCTGTATTTCCTGCAACCTGCGCTTTTAACCTGCTACTAATAAGCATAAAAATAAGCTAGAGTTTAGTTAAAATAGATTGTTAAAATATATGAGAGTACAAAGCTTAGCATCATATCGATAATTATAGCTTCATTTGAGATGGTTTTTTTATTATTTCTTAAAACAACTTTTTAATTTAAAAATTAAAAATTTTATACTGAAAAATTGATTTAAGAAGCAATAAGAAAGCCGTCCCAAATAAAACCTAAATGATATGTTAATAAACTTTCACTCATAAGATTAAACTCTGTAGACTGAAAAAGAGTTCAATTTGTAGAATATTAGATACAGTTTTTATGAACAATCTCTTAATAATAAAGTCCCAAATGACAAAATTAAAGTTTTGTTTGTGACAGTTTTCTTACTGTTATTAGAAAGTTATTTTAAAAAGCAGTAAGAAAGTCATCCTAAATAAAGCCTAAGTACTTATGGTTCAACTAACCCATTTTGAGGAAAGATCTTAGGCGATTGCTTTAAAAAGAAATCTTTGATATCTTTGGCTGAATACATTGGCCGATTGCTCTTATTAGGAGCAGTTAGCATTGTGGTCACTAAACCACCGGTGCTTGTTCCAGCAATCACATCAAAATAGTCTGCAAGCCTTGCTTCTTCTCCATCAAGCTCCTGTAATAACCCAACCCCCTCTCTTAATTAATTATACTTCAAAAAGTTTAAGAAAAGAAAACAAATTAACTCATAATTAAGCAGATGATTAGAGAAAAAAAAAATTTCTTACTTGTAGCTTGGATTCAAGAAAGGCAAGAATGATTCCTGGAATAATTCCTCTTACCCCTCCTCCGTCTATGCTTAGAACTGTAACAAGACTACCTTGAGAGCGAGGAGAGGAGATTTCGAAGTTGCTCGCCATTGATTCAACGCTGTTGATCAGCTTAAGCTTTGGAAATCTTATTCAGTAAAGCTAAGAAGGGTGATTATGAAGCTAATTGAAGAGATTAGCAGTTAGTTAATCTCTGGCTTTACTGTTGTTCTTATTGTGGCAAAGATGATTTGTGTTTTTATAGACTTGTCTACTAAAAGGATTTGTACCAAGTAAATCACTAAGAAAGCGTGTATTAGATGTCTTAGCCAAACACGTACGTGCGACTGAAATTTGAATTAATCGCATGTTAACAGTTTAATTAGTGCTAATTATTTTGTAGAAAATTTGCCTAACTGTGCTTTGAACTTGGCCAACTCGTTTGGCTTGAGAACAAAGTCATTTTGGAAACTATGTGGACTCCGTCCAATATCTTTCTTTCTTTTTTTTTTTTAAGCTTAACAACATAGAATATAAATATATTTCGTTGAAATTCAAATTTTATCTTAATTACAAAATGAATATCCATTCAAAAAATAAATAAGAATTTTCGTATATTTGTAGATGGCACGATAAAATTATTAAGAATTTGATAAAAATAGATAGATAAGGATTGAAATTTTATTATCAATTTTGGATGAATGTAGACTAAATTATTCATTTGGTCTTGAAATAAAATGAATATAATGTAAAAGAAAATGATGATGATGGCTGGCGACGACAGTACAATCAGCTTGCAGTGGAAAAAGAATGCAGTCAAAACTAGATAGTTTGCAACACCTAAATTTTAAAATTCCCTATTTTTTATTCTAAGAACGTTCCTTTATAGATAAGTTTAGTTGAAAACTTGTAAATAAAATATTAGTTATAATTAAAAAAAAAATAAAATATTTAGGTCAGCCATCAATCGAGGATCTTAATTAAAACAAGGAGAGGAGCCATTCTTGGTCTTGCACGTTTAAAGAATGACAACTAATTAACAATGTAGTTGCTTGCTCACCTTAACTTATGCTTGATAAGCATCAATGTTGGTTCAATTCATATTAAATTATTGTCATTACTATATGTTGGCTCATATTTTATTGGGCTAATTCACATGTTTATATAAAGGATTAAGTGATCTTAGCCAAGTTTTATTCATCTTTCAAGTTGAATTAAATAAAATTTGAATGTCTAAGTAGAGGTGTAAATGAGTCATCGAGTCGGTCGAGTGGTAGCATTATCGAGTTGAGCTTGTTTAGCTCTTATAGAGCTCAAACGGAGCTCGAACTTGACTTGTTGTATAAAAACAAACTTGAGCTCGATTCAATTGAAAAGTTCGGACTGGACTCGTTTATGAAGCTCAAATTTATATTATCTTAAAAAATTATTAATAAAAGGGTATATTAAAATTTTTTAAAACTATATTTTAAAATTGAGTAGCTCACCTAGCTAACAAGCTAGCAAATTAAGTTAGAATAAGCCCGAACTCTAGATAATTTAATAAACGAGCTTAATTACATGCTCGATAAGCTCGACTTACGAGCTCATCAGAGAGCCGAGTTAAAATCAACTCGACTCACTTACACCTGTACTCATAAGTAACAAAAAAGATTTGTAGAGTTTTGTTGAGACCAATGGAGCTTCCGGATTGATGAAACTTCAAAGTTCAGACATGTAATTAAAGGAATATATGTCCTCAACGACATAAATATTCCTCCATTAAAAAATACAAATTATACATATTTAAATATAACAAATGTAGGCCTTATTGTTGAAGAATGATTTATTATTCTGTGTGGAGCCTGGAGGGTGTCCGGAGACCAATAAAAATGTGCCATGTCACTCTAAAAATTACCATGCTCAGTACCGAGCTTAGTACTCGCGCTAAGTACTGCTCGGTACCGAGCGCTTAACCAGATGATTTTCCATATGGTGTCCACATATAATAATAGCTCTATTAGAATATGAGTGTTGGGCCAGTACGGATCTATTTGCATTATTATTATTACTCTCTCAAATTTAATTATGCTTTTATTCATGTTACCAACTCTTAAGGTAATATGTTATTAAGAACTTAAACCAAATTATCTGACCCAAATATTCTCTCATGAAATCCATAAATTGGACTAGTTGCTACCTATTTAAAGCGAAATTTCATCAATAAAAGAAAAAAATGAAATTAATAGAGATTTCCAAATCTTTGTTCTTTGCTTTTAGTACTCATCTTGTTATGCATGATGTCCACTTTTGACAAACATCAATGATTGTTGTTTTTCTTGATGCATCTTATCAATCATATATGTTGCCTCTTGTTATTTTCCTTAAGATGTTGATCCCCAAAGGATGTTGATTCTCATCGTTGCCTATTGTTTAATACTTGTCATTGATAGTTAATCAACATTTGTTCAAAATTGATATTTGATGACTACGAACAACTAATACATAACGCTCATCTTCTCGATCGCTTGCTCTCTTCTTCGGCAAGAAGAACCACAAAGCGAACTGCTCGTAATATATCGCTCAACTTCTACTATCCTTTATTAAACATTGTTGGATGTTTGCCAATGAATGAAGTTTGACATTTGTGATCCATCAATGTTTAATGTCAAATTTCTCGCATGTACGACCACTCCCTTATAAATAGAATGGCCAATTTGAGTGCCTATTTTCACTTGATTGCTAAAGTTTATCTTTAGTCTCACCTGATGCTTGCTTATAATAAACATCCAGCATTTGTATGCTATTGACATTTAATACTTGACTTTAAAGTTGTCTAATCTTCTCTCATATTAATATAAAAATCAAGATGGTTGCTCACTGTTATCTCACTGCATATGCTCCTTGTCACTCGGATGCTTGTCAGTGATTGCAATCCATTAAGAACCTTCATCTATTCTCTTGATTGTATGATCTCCCTTCATATCTAAAGAATCATTAAACCAGCAACCATAAACACTAACTTTCGATATTCCACATTAACTACATGTCGTCCAACTTATATTTTTGATCGACGTACAATGTTTGTCAACCACTGGCCGGCTTTAGATACAACTATTCTAGTTCACACTTTCACCCTTTAGGTTATGCAATTTCCCATCATATCCAAATATCAATGGAGCTAATACTCCATTGACGCTCAACGTTTGACATTTCATGTCAATCATTATCTAACACTTATAAATAATCAACATTTGATCACCATGGTCCATGTCCAACCTACAAATTCTTAATTACAAATATCTCTTCCTAGTAGGAGAATAACAAAGTCGATCCCCAATCATCACTTGATTTTTGTTACAAGCTATCCATCATCATATTACACTCATCACTATATAAAAAATTTGAAATGTTGAGACTCCCCTCCTATTATTACCATTAAAAAAAGTCTTTTGTAGTTCAAGTAAATTAAATTGTATTAATATCTTTCAAGTTATGAGGAATTTTACTATTTGCAATCTTGAACTTACATTAATGAAATTATGTCTAGTAAGAAATCTCTGTGAAAATTTTACTTCCTCTGATTTTCATATTAAGAACTATGAAATATATAACCAATTAGTTTTAGTACTGTACTAACCATCCAATCAAAATTGACAAATCTCCTCAACAACAACATAAAAACAAGCCATAACAGAATCATCTGAAGCAAGTTAATATTTGGGGGCAACCCAAACAACATCCTTAAAAGGATGTTTATGTCAACTCTTAATCTACCTTATTAATCGTTTGATTAAACTTATTCTTTCTATGCAATCACCATTCGAAAAGCACTGATATTATTCATACCTCCTTCACATCAAATCCATCTTCTCAGCCACAGTAGCCTCTAATCATCCTTTAATTATTTAATTTGGGCTTATTTGGAGACAGATCAAACCGCTTTTGTCGTCATTAAATTGTTTACTTAGGCTTTAAATTAGCTAAAAATAAATGATAATGAATATGATTCAAAAATAAAAAAGGTCAAATATTGCATTGATGTATACTTCCAAACATGATTTGAACAATAGAAAATATATTAGGCAGGCTTATATTTTAATTTGAATTTGAAATTTAATTAAATCCTAAAGAATTTTTTTTAAAATTTTTAATTTTGATATTTATTATATATTTATAACTGTTCTATTTTTATTTTATAAATTTTTATTTAAAATTTCTCCTTGGAATTATTTAAAACAAAAAAACTAATTTTTTTCTCCCGCCCGCTGCCCTCTCTTTTCCGAGAGATTATTCTGTGCGGACGCCGAACACAGTTCACCGTCCAGAGACCAACCAGACTGCACCATGTCAGCGGTACCGAGCCGTGGAACCGAGCGGTACTGAGTCGAGTATTGAGCAGGGGGTGACATGACGCATTTTGCTTGGTCTCCTGAAGGCGCTCTGCATCCACACAGAATAATCTCTCCTCTCTCCCTCTCTTTTCCTCGAGCCTATTTTTCTTTCTTCGTTTGAGTTGAATGCACTATTTCTTTTAGCACATCTGAATGAGCTATTTAAGCTTTTAAATCCTAAAATTTTCTTTTTATTGAATTTATATTTATTTATGAGCAATATATGGACCTTAGTGGCAAAATTGATTGAGAAATGAGAGAAACATAGGGACACATAAAGTAAGGAGAAGTAAGCTTCTGATCATATATATCTTATTGTAAGGTGTCATGTGGGCTTGCCATGTGACATTATTTAATATTTATAGTTGTGGGTACAAACAAGACCCTGCATACAAATATAATTATACAAAATGGCCTAATTAAAGAAGTTTTGCTTCCTTTTGTGCACCATGAATTCTCATATTCCTTTGTTTTGAAAGATCCCGGGCAAAATCAACCAAGGCTTGCTTATTATTTCCTCCACATTTAACAGGCTCATACACCCCAGTATCTATATTCACCCTCGATAAAAGCTTCTCAATCAATTTCTCTCCAATCTTCACCAACTCTTTCAGGTTCTTCTCTGTTGAGATATCCATAGATGAAGCATCTCCAGCCAATGTGTCATCCTGAATGCGAAGATAGTTCTGCTCTTTTTTCAGAGATTTGAAGAGAACAGAAAGCATTATATCAACCATG